GAAAGTGCTGAGGCCCTGCAGCGGCTGGAAGGGAAGAGGAAGGAGAGGTCACGGGTAGGGAGGAGTCGCATGGTGAGTTTGGATTTGATTCTGTGTGCAGGCCCAGTCAGCCAGCTCTAAGCACAGGGCCCCGTGCTGGGTCGGCTCTTGAGGAAGCTCACTGGGCTGTGAAGGGAGGTGGGTGGAGGGGCAGGAACCGAAGCAGGCCCAGGAGGAGGCAGGGCGCCCGGGGCCCAGCTGGTCACTTCCTGCTGCTGGAGGAAGGACAGGTTGCCAGCGTCCCGCTCAGAAGGGGGCTCTCCAGCTCTGAGACAGATCTGTTCTCTAGTATAGTATGTCCCTCCAGAGTGTGGCTGTGTCACCACCTGGGCACTGTCAGGTGTATACATGGGGAGACCACAGGCTCAGAGGTGAGGCGGTTGGCCCAGGTGACCCGGAGAATTGCTGTGGCAACAGGGACTTGAGCCTGCAGGATGGGTGTGATGGCCCAGGGTCTCAGGCTAGACCCCTCTCCCCATGGGGACCCACAGTTATTTACAAACTCATTCAGGACCACATTTGGCCTCTCGAGCTCATCTGGGAGGGTGTGGGAGCATCTTATTTATTCATTTTAATTCAGTTCTGTGCACTGGACCACTGAAATTTCATATAGCATTCAGCGAGGTCTTCCAGTGTATTGAGCTATGATTGACATCTCCCATTGTGCAAGCCAAGGTGTACAGCACGGTGGCTTGACTTAGGTGTACGTTGTGCGGTGATTGCAAAAGGTTAGTTAACAGCCTCACCTGGTTTCCTTTGTGTGTGTGGGTAGTGAGGACTTTCAAGATCTGCTTTCTTAGCTCCTTCCAAGCACACAATACAGCGTTGCTAACCAGTCACCATGCTGTGTCACGGCCCCAGAACGCATCCATCTCCTCCCTGGAAGTGAAGTGTGTGCCCTGGATCACCCCACCCATCTCCCTCCCCTCCCCCACAGCTCCTGACAGCCACCAGCCTAGTCTTCGTTTCAATAAGTCTGGTTTTCTGAGATTCCACATATAAGTGAGATCACACAGCGTTTGTCTCTCTCTGCCTGGCTTATTCCACTTAGCATAATGCCCTCTAGTCCATCTTTGTTGCCACAAATGGCAGGAGTCCTGTCTCGAGGCTGAATCATTTCCATGCAGGTATGTTCCACGCCTTCTCTGTCCATTCGTCTGTCGTTGGACACTTGGGTGACTATTGTGACTGACGCTGCAGCAAACATGGGGTGCAAGTACCTCTTCAAGATTCTATTCTCCAGTGGTTTTACCTATGGATAAAACCCAGAAATGGGGTTGCTGGCTCTGTTTTTCATTTGAGGAGCCTCCATGCTGTTTTCCACAGTGGCTGCAGCAGCACCGTAGTTTTCTGCTTCCTTCCTCACTGTGGACAACACCAGTCCTTGATTTCGGCACATGCCCTCATCTGTCCAGTCACTCTGTCCACCAGCCGTCACACCACAGGCCCCACAGCGGCTTTGCCACATCTCTGCCCTGAACTCACAGGCCCCGCCAGCCTTTCTGTCCACATGAGAGAGAAATCGGCTCCAGAAAGTGCACCGCGGTCTGTTGGAAAAGGCCGGTAGTTTAGACGAGCTTTTTCTGAGATTTTCCAGGGAAGAGTTGTGTGCAAGAGACATTAAATTTCAAACGAGCCAGCTTCAGTTCAGATACTTCTCAAAGACGCAGAGCCTGAGAAACGGAAACCTCCTCAGGAGAGCAGCCATGTCCAGGCCGTTGCCTGGAGAAGCCAGTTTAGGAGGCATGTTAGCTACGCAGAGGTTTTGAGTTTGCACTGTGCTCAACGCCACGATTGCTAGCTTCCCCCACACCTCTTTTGGCCAGGAATCCCCAGGCTGGCCTGTTACCCATGTGTTTTCTTTCTGGGGGAGGTGGTGTGTGACCTGCAGCGCTCGCTGCCTTCTTGGGTTGGGAAATATGGTCACAGTGTCCCTGAGGTCCTGGAGACGGGCGTTAGAACCCTGCTCACGAAGCTAAGGAGTGGCCAGAGATAAAAGCGGAGAGCGTTTGAAGGGCGGCGGGAAGGGGGCTGTGCTCATCCTTCAGGAGCCGTCCCCATCCTCGAGCAGGAGGTCCTGGGGCGCCCAGGCTCCGTCCCACACCTAGTCCCTCCCCCATGTGGTCCACGTGGGCCCGGCCCTGTCACCCACTCATCCCCTCCCCAGGATGAAGCCGGCTGGAAGTGTGAACGACGTGGCCCTGGATGCCTTCGATTTGGACCGAATGAAACAGGTGAGTGTGTCCTTTCCTGATAGGCCATGAAGGAGCCAGGGGCTGGGGACAATCTCGGGGGCACATGGCAGGCAGGAGGCCCATTGGAGCCCTCACTGGTGCAGAAGTCAGGAGCCAGCTGCAGAAGGCGGTTGCATTTGTCCCCAGCCCCCACCAATGCCCTCGGGGGGCTCCAGAGGTGCCTGAGGTGCAGGAGGCTGCAGGGCAGGGCTGGCCAGGGCATCACACCCCCCAGGCACACTCCATCCTTCCTCCGTCCTTCCTCCCATCCCCCTCCGGGGCGTGGGGGAGGGTGACAGTGGGTGTGCGCTCCGAGGGAGGCCCAGGACACCCCTACCCCTTCAGACACACCACCCCCAGCCAGGCCAGCTTCCCTCTGTCCCTCTGAGGCTCTGCTCCCACAGGAGATCCTGGAGGAGGTGGTCCGGGAGCTGCACAAGGTGAAGGAGGAGATCATCGATGGTGAGTAGGGCACCCAGGGTCCCAAGGGAGGGCAGAGCCAGAGGACCCCACCCTGAGCCAGGAGGCATCCAGGGCCCAGGAAGCCTTGGCTTTGTAGTTAGGAGGTGTCATCCCCCCCCCAACAGCCTGCAGCACCCTCCCCATTCTCTCCAACCAAACAGAGGCTCAGACAAGTGAAGGGACTTGCTAAGTAATCACAGCTCCCTGGTGATGTGACTCCTGAATCTGCTACCCCCACGCCGCGCATGTCCCAGGGCAGCCCCGGTAGATGGGAGGGTGATGAAGGGTGCACCCCAAAGCCCAGGGCAGCGGAGCAGCATCAGTGAGCTGCTCTGTCTGCGTCAGCATCTGCGGACTTAATTGACTCATTTTATCCTCCTGCCCTCCTGGGGGTGAGGGACCAGGAAGCCACGAGACCACTGTCTGGGCCTGACCCGGCTCACAGCCTGCTGGGCCTTGGGCTGGGAGCAGGTGATGGCTCTCCCCAAAAGAGCCTCTGGTTCCAGGTGGCAGGGCCTTGTCACCGTGAATCACACCGTCCCAGCTCCCACCAGAGCCTTGGTACGGCTGGCTCAGATCTGGGCCAGGGAGACGAAAGGTCTGATCAGGCAGGGCCAGCTCAGCCCCTGGACGGAGCAGTGAGGCACCTCCTGGGCGCCTGTCCTCCCCCACCAGAGGGGGGTGAAGCCACACCTGGGGATGGCAGAGGGCTGCCTGGACTCTGGAGAGAGAGAAGAGGCGAGGGTGGGGGCCTACCTGGGGTGCCCGCAGACCCAGACCCCTGGTCAGAGCTGGGTGACCGAGCCACTCCCTGTCCTGGTCCCCAAGCAGAGAACACTGGGTTCCTGTTTGTCCAGTCGCCCTGCAGGCCTGAGCGGCACAGATAAGGAGTTAATGAATGAAGAGAGTGAGACAGAGCTGGAGCTAGAAAGGGGACAGAGGCCAACTATTAACTCAGCCTTACTGCTGAGTGTCCCCCAGGAGGGCTGCCAGGGTCGCCAGGGCTGCTTGGGACTGGAAGCGGCGTGTGCACAGGGAACAGGCAGGTGGAGGCAGTGGGTGCGATGGGCCTGGGTCTCCGTCTGTAGGTGCAGCCACAGGTGGAAGCTGCTTCGTGGCTGGGTGGGCCCTGGGGAAGTGGGGGCTCCAGAAACATCCCCTTGTTACTTGACGAGTGCCCAGGCCTCAAACTTTTTCTCTTGGCCTTTGGCTCCAGGCCAAGTCCAGGGAAAGGCCCAAATTTGAGGGGAATCCTAGGAGTGGGAAAGGAAGAAACAGACGCCCCTGCCCTCCCTGGAGGGCAGCACTTAGGCCAGGGAGTGGGGGCAGATGCCCAGCTGTCCAGACCTGCCCAGGGCTCCTGCTGGCGGCCAGCCCCTCCTAAGCTCCGAGCACAGACACCACCACCACCCCCCACACACACAGCTGGTCCTCTAACGGATGCCAGCTGGGACGTGTAGGCGACACCCACTAGACCCACAGTCTGTGCCAGAGCCGCTGCGCTGCTCTACTCCAGCCTGTGCCCTGATCTCTGGGAGCCTGGGTGGGGCTCAGGAGACCAGAGGCACTGAAACTACCTCAACCTCACCCAGGGCATGGGGACACCTGGGGCGTGGGGACTCCTGGTGCGTGGGGACGGGCCCTGCGGAGGAGGAGGGTGGGCTGGTCCCCACCACATCTGAGCCTCTCCTCTCTCCTCTCCCCTCCTGTCCTGTCCTCTCCTGTCCTCTCCTCAGCCATTAGGCAGGAGTTGAGTGGAATCAGCACCTCGTAGGGTGCACGGCCCTGCCGCCCGAGCCTCGCCCCCAACGGATGGCAGGGGACAGTGAGGACACAGCGGCTAAAGCTTCGACGTGCTTCACTTCAAGTCTTAATCTGTGAGAAATAGTAAAATGAGGAAAGCGTTCAGTTCCTGGATTTTTTTAGATTTTACCTGACACAGAACACCAGGTCTACGCGCCTTTTTTTGTATTTTATATTTGTCTATTTAAGTGTACATTTCTTTTGGTTTATAGAGAAGACACCCCCAAATCACGCGCTTCATTAGATGGTTCCGAGTTTCCCCCAGTGGCGCTCGGCACTGGGCGGGCGGCGGGCTGTGCAAGCGCAGCTCCGCCCGGCGTCAGTGTGAAGTCTGCCCGCGCCCGGGTGTCTGTGTCCACGTGGTAATAAACGCTTCTGTCCACACGCCCGGCTGCCGCTCTCTCTCTCGCTGGCCTGTGGTCACTACTGGCTGGGACACCCCTTTTAGGGGGAGGCCCACTACAGAAGTGACCAGGAGTAGTATAGGAGCAAGCTGGGCGCCGTGGGGGTAGCTGGGCTGGGAGGACGGGAGGGTGAGCAGGCAGCTCAGGCACTTCTGGTGGGGTCCTGGGGAGGCCACGGGAGCCACACCCACAGCGCAGTGGGAGGTGGCCAAGTGGCACCCTTGCCTGCAACATCAGAGAGGGTCCCTGAGCGTTCTGACTGGCAGGGCCAGGTGGGGCACTGCGACGGGCTGGGTTGGCCTGCCCCTGCACTGGGCCCGCAGGGAGGCCCCGAGGCACTCGCCGGCCCTCCTCAGCCCCTGCGAGTTCCCATGATAGCCAGGGAGGGTCTGACTGGGCCCAGCCAGTGGCCAGGCCACCTCAGACTCAGTGGGACGCCCAGCCCCTGGCCCAGTGTCCTCTGATGGCCCCGGGGGTGGGGGCAGGGCCCCACTCTGGCTGATGACAAGGGGACCACTTTTTGTGGCCAGGCTCTGGACATACTTCATCTCACTGAGTGTCCTCACAACCCTAAAGGGCAGGAAGAGGCCTGTTCTGCCCCCTAGGAGGTCGGCTCGAGGCTCAGATCCGAGCGGCTGGCCCTGGTTCAGGCGGTTGAACTCATCTGCTTCCTCTGCCGCCCAAGTTCCAGAAGTTCTGCGGGGTGGGGTGCCCAGGAGCTAACGGGGAAGATGCCCCCGAGGTCAGCTGTGCCATCAGCCCCTGCCAAAGTCAGGACAGAGCGCTGTCCCCTTCACAGAGACACCAAGGACACCAGCCGCTTCCCTCTGACCTGCAGTCACCTGTCTGTCCAGCCACCCCATGTCTGGCCTATGGCCCCTGTTCTGTGAGAATCTCAAGTCCCACGTCTAAGCTGGTGGGGGAGACAGACCCTGCATGTCAAGCCTGCACCCTCGGGGCTCGGAAGGCTTCCCACAGGGGAGCAGGCTCGAAGCTGACCCGGAGGAGGGGGACAGGAGCCTTCTACTGCCTACACCCCCGAAGGCTGGCCCCCACAAATGCAGGGCCCTCAGGAAATGCTGCCTAAGGGCCCAAGCGTGGGAGCAGCAGCAGTGCCAGGGTGGGAACAGGTGGGGTGTGACCTGGGGACTGCCCACCTCCAAGGCAACCAGGAGCCTCGTTCTCAGACCCAGGCTGGAGCTGAGACCACCCCCTCAGAAGCACGTTGTGGATGTGGAAACAAACGCTGATTTAATTCAGGGCATGGGGACACCAGAGAAATCGGCCCCGTGGAGACTGGGCGCCCTGTGAGGCCCAGGAAGGGCAGCCTGGCCTGAGATCAGCAGTGAGTCAGGTGCAGACCCAGCTTCTCCAGGCTGCGGCCCGCCCAGTGTCCCCAGCATGGGACCAGGACCTGGGGGACAGGCAGCCCAGCCGGTTCTGAGCACTAGGCCGAGGGGGACAATGACAACCAGCTCTGCAGGGGCGGGCGGGCAGGACACCGCAGGGTCCATCCACTCCAGTGCCAGCAGGTCAGGCTCACAGGCTGTCCCCTGCCAGCTTGCACACTCGCTTCACCCTGGCATAGGGCCCCAGGGAGTCCTCGAACACGAAGTCCCAGAGCACCTTCATCCACGAGTGGTGCTGCGGCAGGTGGTCGTAGTACTCGGGCGCGATCTTCCGCACCTGCGGGGAGGCGAACGGGTCAGAGGCCACGCCTTGGCACAGGCGCGCCTGTCACGCACGCGCACGTGTACACACGCTGACACGCGTGAGCATGTACACAGGCACCCGAGCATGTCCACAGAGACAGGCGAGCGTATGCACACGCACGAGCACGTACCCAGACACGAGTGTGTGCGCAGACACCCTGTCACCCCCCAGGGCGCCCGTGTCCAGCTCAGCAGGCAGGAGGCTGGCTGGCGCTGGCCCACAGCCCAGGGCGCAAGCCCCCTTTCCCGGGTTCGGACACACCTGGAGCCCACGCTGGCGTTTCTGATCCAGGAGCCGGGGAGAGGCCGGGCTCTTTCCCTCCAGCACCTGCCCAGTTGAGGCACAGCCTGGTTGGTGACCATGCTCCTCCTCACCCGCTTCCAGTGCCCTCCCCAACCCGCCAGCACTGGCCTCGGCTCCCACCACAGCCCCGCCCCTCGCCCTCCTCCCAGCCTCAGTTCTTGTCATTTCCCAAATGCCTCTCTTGCACCCTCTCCCTCTCCAGCTCCCTGCCCCCATCTGCACACGACACCCTCGGCTGCCTCCTCCAGGAAGTGCTCCCAGCCTCAGCACCGCATCAGCACCACCACCTGCCCTGCTGTCCCAGCGCAGGGGAGGCCCTCCGCTCCCCCACGGCGGGCACGCCGGTGCTCAGGGCCTGCATTACGGCCGAGACGGGCTCAGGGACAGGAGGTGACCTGCATGGGAGCAAGCAGGGGGCTGTTCACTTTGCTCAGAAGTAAAGACACTTTTGTGACCAGCTTGGGTCCAGATTCCGGCTCTGCTGCTTCCTATGGTGGGCACCTCCCCTCTCTGAGCCTCTGCCTTCTCGTCTGTGAAATGGGGATCCTGGGCAAGGAGGGACCTGCCAAATCGGCCTGTGAGGATTAGGTGAGATGGTGCCCAGCACCGAGGGACCTCAGGACCTTCAGCAGGACGGGGGAGGGGTTGAGAGGGGGAAGGAGGGGTGGGAAGGCAGGGGCTACACACAGGCTGTCGGACTCGTCACACGGGCCAGGGCGCCAACACCCACACACCCGGACAAATGCTCACACGTAGCCACACGCACAAACACATGTACACACTGGGCACACTCAGACACACATGCAAACACTCAAAGGCATGTGCACCCCCGTGCACACGCAGACCTCACTGCCCCTCCTGCCCTCCCCAGTGCTGAGGGCACTTCCGCTCTTCTAACCACACGCCAGACCCCACTCCTCCTCCCCCTCCTTCAGAGACTCTGCATCCCGGGTCTCCCGAGGCACAGCCACCTGCCCGGAGGCTTCCACTCTGCTCCAACTCAGGCGGAGTCCCTTGGGCCACAAAGCCCACCCTGTCCTCTCTGTGCCATGTGGGCCCCCTAGAAAGTCACAGGGCAGGGACCAGAATGAGCAGGGAGCCAGGAAGGGGAGGTGCTTCACACGCACTACCGCTGGCTGCTGCCCCATTTACAGAACAGGAAGGGGGGCACAGAGAGGGCAAGCAGTTTGCCCAAGGATGCACAGCTCAAACAGGTTTTCATTACACCGAACGGTCTGAACTGTCAATGCCCCCCAAGCCCCTGCCCTGCCTGGATTCACCTCAACCTCCAGGCGGCACTCGCCTGTACTGCTCCGCCTTTCCCTGTGCTGTGGGGACCACAGCTGAGAACGTGGCCACCCCGTGATGAGCATGAAAGGGAACGGAGGTCAGTGTGCCTCAGGTACCCTCCGCGACACCTCCCCGCCTCCTCAGACTCCGTGTACCCCTCCCCGCTGCACCCCGGCCCGCGTGGCCACATACCAGGGGCAGGTTGCAGCCCGGGATGCTGGGGAAGTCGTGGTGCTCCATGTGGTACCCCACGTTGAAGGTGATCCAGTTGAGGGGCCCGTAGTAGGAGTAGGTCTCGTGGCCCTTGAGGAACATGTAGTGCTCAGCCACGAAGTGGCCGGAGATGGGGTGCAGGCCCAGGCCCAGCAGGGAGCTGGCCAGCAGGTAGACCACGGGCTTGAGCCCCCAGAGGGCGAAGAGGGCCGCGTCGGCCGCCAGCTGGACCAGGGCGTTGAACACCTCCATGCGGGTCAGCGCCTTGGGGTTCACGCAGAGCGGCCGCAGGGAGTAGAACAGGGGCTGCAGCAGCAGCCAGAGCAGCTTCCGGGCGGGCGTGCAGAAGAGCCAGCCCTCCAGGCGCGTGGGCACGTCCACGTCCAGCCCGTCGCCGCCCAGGTAGCGGTGGTGGTCCACGTGGTACTTCTTGAAGGAGGCGGCGTAGGGCACGCCCACGGGCAGGTTGGCGAAGATGGCGAACCAGCGGTTGTGGGCCGCGCGGCCCGTGCCGAAGGCGGCGTTGTGCGAGATGTCGTGGATGGCCAGCGTCAGCGAGTGGTTCACGCAGCCGCCGAAGGCGTAGGCCCAGAAGAGCAGCCAGCGCCACGCCAGGCCCCGCACCAGCCAGCAGGCCAGCAGCTGCGCCAGCACCAGCCCCAGCACCGTCCACTTGAGGTGAGGGTCCGGCCGCATCAGGGCCTTGATGGCCGGGTACTTGGCTGCAGGTGGGGCCGGGAGAGAAGGCAGTGAGGGCGCCGTGGCCGCAGGGCCCCCAACCGTCTGCGGGTCCTTCCTCCCTCCCTCCCTCCCCGCTCCCTTCACTCCCCGTCCCACCTTCTGCCTTCTGCGCAGCCCCCAGGCGGTGACTCTGGATAATTCGCTGCGTGTCCTGCTAAGACCTTGCCCTGGACTTGAGGGCCTAGGGGCAGCCTGGCCTGTGGGCGCAGAACCAGGCCAACCTGCCTCCCCACCCCCCGGGGGCTCTGGGGCACACTTCCCGGAGGAAGGGGGGGTCTTTGCCACCAGCCTAAATAAAGAGGTGTCGCCACGGGTCACAGAAATGTAATGTCAGAAATCAAAGCAGCTGCAGAGCCAGGAGCTGCCGGCTGCCCAGGTGAACCACACACGGTGCGGGGATTGTGAGGGGGCTGACGCCTCGGCCCGGATGCCCCAAGCCCATCAGGAACCTGGGAGGGGCTGGGTGGCCAAGGGAGGGCCCGCGGAGGGCTCTGGCTTGCTCTCAAGTGTTTCCATTTTAAACAAGATCTGAAGGAAATCAGATAAAACGTTGAACGCCTTCATTTCGGATGATGGGTGTTATGGTATCTTTTGTACTTTTCTGTTTTGTTTTACAGAAAAGGAAAACGAGTGGGGGAGCTGGCCAAGCCCACGGGGCCCTCCCGGAAAGGCACTGGGACAGCAAACAAGGCCCGCGGGCCACCAGAAGGCCACCTGCGCACGGCTCAGGGCTGTGTAAAAGCTTGAGGCTGGGAGGTGGAGACCACGCTGAGGGACTCCCAGGCTGATGAACTCTCCCCCTGGCCTGCCCATGCCGCCCCGTGGTGGCTGCTTGTGTCATGGCTGCACAGTGGGAGGTGACCTCGCTGCCCAGTAAAGGCCAGAGGTCCCATAGGGTGCTGGGAGCCCCAGCATCATCCCACCAGGTGGGGCAAGACTGGGGGGCCCAGGCAACTTGTGGGACCCCTTGGGGGGGGTGCAGGGGGCAGGCCTCATCCAAGTTTGTTCCTGCCCCAAAAGGGGTCAGAGTGAATGGGACACTTCAGAGGAAGTTGCGTGGGCAGATGGGTGCCTCCAGTGGGAGGTGGGAGCTTGGGGAGTGGGAATCCAGCAAGGGAAACAAGTGTCCCCATGATGGCGGCGGGAGGGGGAAGGATGTGCCACAACCTCCGCCTCAGGAGAGCTCGCTCACAGCCTCACCCACAGCCCAGTGCCAGGCAGTCGCATGCAAAGTGCCCTGAACCTTTGCCTACCTGGCTCTGGGGCTGGCACCAAGACCAAGAGGCTCTGCCAGCCTCCTGCTCACCAGCCGTGGCCTCTGGGCAACAACCTCCCCTCTCAGGCAACCGGGGCCAGGCCCTCCCCTGCCAAAGCGCACCTGGGAGCCAGCCAGCCACCAGCCTCCACAGGGTGGGCCTCCCCAGCTTCCCCTTGGAAGGGGGCCAAGCCTGGGGCAGGAGGGCAGGGCAGGCTACACCTGTGCCAGGTGAGCACAGCCTTGCAAGCTCTGGGGCAGTGGGCACCAGACCCTGGCTCTGGGATCCGAGCCAGCACACAGACCACGCCCGTCCCAAGCCTGCCCCCCCCAGGCAGAGGCAGTCACAGAGCTGCCAGCCGTGACCTTGTGGGCTGCCAGTGGGCCTTAGGTGCCCCGTCATCAAACAATAAGTCCTACCTGGGAGGCAGGTAAAGGAGACCCCTGCAGATGCCTCCCCCGCCC